AAAAAAATATCATCTGAAAGAAAACTTTCTCATCTACTTTCTAATCTTGTCTTCGCTACTCTTCAACCGCAAGGGACTTCAGGTATAAAAATTAGAAAAGAAGAACCACTTGAACTCCCGATTTTGAAATAAACGTCAAAAATCTGAAACGCTGCATAAAAATCTGAGAGCGTTTCCAAGTTTGTGCTGATCAAGCTTTCCTAGAAAAAGTTTTTTGATATTTGAGGAAAATGCAAAAAACGGCAAAAATGATTTTTTGGCATTTTGCCGATTTTTATCGAAAATAATTCAGCACAAACTTGACACTGATAGAAAGAGCAGCTCACAAAACCTTCAAGAAACGTGCTCTCAGATTTCGAAAGCGTTTCAGTTTGATGATACATTTTCGAAGATCGAGATAGAGTGGTTTTCCTTTTCAAATTTTTATCTCTGAAGTCCTCCCTTGCCTTCAAATAGCCACAAAGATGTTACTAGAGAGTAGACGAATTTTTCCTAAGGGAATGTTTTGCAAGCAAATGCACTCACATAGGAAGCAATTACGAATTTTTTCAAAATAATGCGATGCTACGTTCGGTCCAACCTAATACCTTGTCAGGAAGGGAGACCAGAAGGAGAGGGCTGGTGAAGGAACAACAGCGAATTCCCCGAAAGGTTACAACCATATAATACTGGCTCTTTCCACCCTTTTTTTGAGGTCTTTCTTTTTCTTTATTGAGCTGAGAGAATTCTCACTAACGCTGCTTACCTAATCTATCGGCCATCTGCTGATAAAGTTGCTCATTGATACAAGCGTTTGGGTGAGCCGCACAGTCCATTTCGCATTTGAAAGCAGTCCATGACATCCAACCCATTGGTGGAGTTCTAAATGTACTTCTCATTATTTTGCATGACACCATACTATTAGAAAAATCTTGTAAAACCTTGCCAGCCCGTTATCCAGCGCCAAAGTTATGGCCCATAAACCACAAACAAAAGCAAATATGAGTGTGGCCATAACTTGTCCTGAATTGGAGAATTATGAGTGCTATGTTAGGGCAAATGAACGATAATTTGAGAGCCAAACAGATTCTTGGTGACGGAGAAGCTTATCACTACTGCTATCATGGAAAATCGCGGCATCCTTCTTGAAGCACGTGTATCGCAGTTCCAACTTCCCTTTGATTTGCAAACAAATGTTCAGTTGGGTCCTAAAAAAGACATTGTGAGTCTCAACTAAATCTGATGTTTCTCGAAAACTAGCCTACACGTAGAGTTCTAAATGCAGTGTCTTCAGCATAATATACCCAATAGCAATAACATCGCCTTTGTCAATCACAGACGTCACACGCGAAAAGCTGCTTTTAATAATCTACAGGATGTATGATTTTTTTGACCGTTTTTAAGCTCTTCCACGATAACTCATATTTTTCCTGTTTCTTAATAGGTTATACGGTACCATTCGATCGAGCAAAGTAGTTCTACAAGGTAGCAACAAAAATATTGCTCGAACTTCGTTTTATTAGAGCACGAAACCATAATTTGAAAAGAGATGTCAGAAGTTAAGAAGAAATCATAAACTCCTCTCAAAAAAATTCTACAAACTCCAACTTACTCAAACATGTATTCTCCACATCAAGTATTTGTCTGTAGATGCTAATTTTTGCATGGCTAGAAATTGAGAAAGAAGTAATTTTCAAGTTCTTGCCAAAGCTTCGCTGAGTTACGCTCATATAGGTGATTTTACAGTATGAACCTAAGGAAGTAAAACTATAGATTTTGGGCAATAGAAATACCAAATTCAGCGTAAGAAACCCCAAAAAAGACGACTTTTTCGCAGTTTTGGCCTATTGGTATCTATACTACTCAAGATCTAGCCATGGAAAGAATAACCAAATTTACATATATCAGATATGTATAGAAATTACATGAGAAATTTTTGAACGGATTTATGATTTTCTTCTCAAGTGGGCATTTAGATTTTAGATTTGTGCTTCAACTTTTTGTAGAATAAACTGGTACCGCACCTATTTGATGAACAAGAAGAGTATAAGTTATCGAGAGAGAAAGTAAAAACGTTATAAATACTTCCACAGCATCAAATTGATCGCCATCGCTTTTCATTACTAAAATTACCGTAAGAGCCTTTGAAGGAAGTTTGCTCCGCTCACAAGCTTGCGCAGAAAAAAATTCTGAAAGACTTTCTTTTACCATCAAATCAATCAATTTCGTCTACTGTAGAAGTAAATTGCTTACTTCTCGTTCAGAATTATGCCGGCACGTAATAATTTCTTCCGACAATGACTTTTTGATCTCGTTGTACCTTTCATAACCTCACCAAGTTTAATTTCTCCGAGATAGCGTTCATATCTATCGTTGAGTTTTTAGGAATTTTTGCGCAAACTTCTCGTAAAGGCATTTAATTCAAAATTCACCCCTGTATATCTCCTGCATGGTAGCAGAATTTTTAGTAAGAAATCAAATATATCTACATCTTCTTCCATGAAAAAGCGTATCATAACACTTCACTGAAGTGTACACTGGATCGTTTGAATTTTATTATAACACTTGGATTCACTCGTAACATCTGTGTAAGTATAGATCACCGTTCATAAGACTCTATGCTTAGAAAGCATCGGGTATTAAATCTATACCGGTTTGATGAGAAAGAAGACTATACAAGAATGGATGTGCGAACAGACAGGAGATGCTTGGAAAGTGGCAGTCATTTCAGTCATTATTATCATTAAGAGCAAACAGAAAAATCGAGGGAAAAAGAATAAAATGAGATTGCCGAAGTGATAGAAAAAGAAATCTTATTGCTATTTTGAAGAAGTAGAAAGCAGCAATGTATAAGTTCTATGCTTCCATAGGTGTATGTTTCATCAGTGCCGAGGTCCAGTCGAAAACCAATTCGTGCTCTGGGTCAATCGCAGCATAGTCGATGTCAGTGCATTTCTGCAATAAAAAATTACTTACTAGTCATCAAGAAAAACACTTCAAGAACTACCTGTGTGAATGACCCAACGATCCCGATCATATGAGCAGCCAAGGTATAATTCCTAGCCTTCAAAGCATTTTTGATCGAATCAAATGCACGTCCTCCTTCAACTGGGCACGATATAGCGAAGTAGAACCATTTCTCGAACTCGTCACGCAGCTCTCCAGCTACATTTTCTAAAAACGACAGATTTCTGTTTTTGCTCTGCACAGAACTCTGGGAAACTCACCGATATTACCAAGAGACCAGTCGACAGCACGTGCCCATAACATGTTGAGGTTTTTCGTTCGATGGAGCTTTTTCTCTTGTCTAAAACAGAGAAGCATGGAAAAAAGAGTTACTGGGAGAATATGAAAGTCACAGATTAGCAGTTTAATCACTAAAATTAACTCATGTTCGAATTGCCACGTTTGCTACTCACACGGTAAATCGCAAGTTTATTAGAGTTCTTATTTTTTTTT